CTGAGCTGCCAGTTAGGGGGGTCAAGCTGTTGCTGTTGGAACATGCAGCTTTATTTCTGAGATTGATCTTAATTCTTTATCTCTAATTGCTTTTTCTGGTGTGAAATCCTGGCTATAGTGACGTCAGCATGTCTTCAGTTCTGGGGACTTCCAGTCTTTTGAACTACCATTTAAGAAGCACACCATTATTGTGTAATACTGTAGCATTTTTCCCTGCAGAGACACGCTATGTAGAACACTTCTGCCTGTGAGATGTAAAAACAAGCAAATATCTTTAAAAAATTGTTGTGAATGAAACTTAAAAATCTAGAACAGCTAAAGGTGAAGCTCACATTAATACTTATCTTGCTTGTCTGTACCAAATTAACTAGCTGACCTTTTCTAAATACTATAATGTCAGAGTGATTGTCATGCCAGAACTAAGATTTTATTTCTCCTTATAGGGAATCTGATCTCTGGCTGGATGTATAGATCTGCTTTACACTGCATTTATAAGATCAGGTGCTTTTATAGACACACAGTTTCCTTAGTTTTTATATATGGGTTGGAACTAGATTTGAGGGGTGTCGGTCCCTTCCAACCCAAACTATTCTATGATTCTATGATTCTATGATATAGAGAAAGAAAATTCTAGATCACTCACAAATGAATTCATAAACAGTCTGTAATACATGGAGCTTGTTGCAGCTCGTCACATTGATTCACTCTAGACTGGCAGTACTTTTCCCTCTCCATAGTTAATGCTGAAACCAACTTCTTGTGCGAAGTCTTCTCTTAGATTCTCTGCAGTCATACCAAAGACAAAGGAGAAGGTTCTGCAAATTAAGCATGTCAGTTGGTACCTTGGTTTTGTTTTAATTTTTCTGGAATATTTTTTTTCTCAATTTCGCTCAAAGTCAACTTGAACTTCAAATGCTTCTCCATCCCTTTATCTCTGTACCAGTAGTACAAGGGATGGAGTAGCCCAGCAGCCAGGTCCTGCTCACTGCTGGGATCCGGTGTGGGCCCATCCAGTGTGGCTGGCTGAGCTGTCGCCCTCCCAGCATGTACTGGTGTTTCACCAGTCTAGCGTTAGTTTGTACAGGATATCTGGGTGAGGAGGAGGAGTGAGTACCAGAAGACACATCCTGTTCTTAATTTCTGTTGTATCAGGTATGTTTTTGTGTCTGGTATCAAGAATTAAAACCAAATTATCCATGTTAAATTGCTGACCCTCCTGTAAGGACATAATACCCTTTTAAATGCTTCTCCAAGGGATCCTAAAGCTGCAGAAGGTTTCTCCAGGGGACTGGATTCAGAGCCTTGTGTTTTTGACCGCCCTGCAGACCACTGCTTTCTGAGAGCACTACAGTCAGCTCAGTTTCCAGGGTCCAAAGCTCTGACTTTGGATTGTTCTAAGACAAGCATAAACCTTCTGAAGTAAATGAGAAGCTGTGGATAAATTTGGAGTTCGTTGTTTCTAATGACTGTGGGCCTCTGCCAGTACTCAGGTGAAGAGGTGTGTAGGTGTGTTCAGACACCCAGGTCACAGGTACATGCTGTGTATGCACAAGTAACATTCAAAGATTGTTGCACTGACATAAGGTCAAATACTCAGAAATTAGTTAAAGAGATAAGATAGCCTTAATCACTGGTCTTCACTAAAATCCTGGGGAGCATCCACTGAACATGCACAGAAGTTAATTTTTTATGTCATGTTGCCCAAACTGAAGGAAGCCCTTCTCTCTAAAGGGACTGATACGATGACAGTCTTCAAACCATTACCACTGACTTTGGGGGAAATCCATACTGCCTCCCATTCACCCATCACATGGAGAAGCTGAGGACTGTTCTGGCAACACACTTTGGGAAGAGACAAGCGATAGCCATTTATGCATTCGAAGGTATATTTTCCAAAATGTTTTGCATTTGTGTAACCTGTGTTACAGAAGGTATTTGCAACTCTCCTGATCACTGGTGTTCCCATTTGTAAATACTGTGATGTCTTAGGTAAATTTGGTCAGGAAATGGATTCTCTTTATTTTTAACATCTTCATTTTGGGGGAAAAAAACAGCAATTCAAATCAAATCCAGCCAAACAAACCGTAGGTTTTTATATAAAGGAGGATACCTTCTTTAACAAAAAAACCCTCTCAAAAATGTTAATAGATTTTTTTTTTCATTAGTCTGTGGGCAAATTTCTTTTTCAGTTATATTTGCTTAAGCAGCTGCTTTTTTTTTTTTTCCATTTTAATGGAAAACAGTTTGTAAAATATTTTGAATAAATATTTTGTTTAGGATATGGAACACACAATGAATTGCTAAGTAGTTTTATTGTCTACAAGGATATTTGAGAAACAGCAGTTCCTTTTTAAGATTCTAGCTGTCATGCATAAAACATCTTAGAGATTTCCATGGGCCGAGGGGTCTATCCCTGTGAACTGTGCTGCATGTTCAGGGTTTTACCCTGTGCAAGCTGGTAGGTAGGTTACAAATAGAAAAAACAAATCTATATTTTTGCAGAGACGATTTTAGTGATTAAAGTTAGTTCCACTAGCCTTAATAACAGTCTATTGTGACATTTTAACATATATTTTTTAACTTTTTCTTCCATACAAACTTGCAAGTTCCCAGTGTATGCTCATGGTGTGGAATATACCACGAGTATAGAAAAAGATATGATGGTGACTCAAAATGGCAATTTCTAGTACAGTTTTATTTAATGCTTTCTCTTCTGAGCCCACTTTACTTAGCTAGAAAATATTCTTCTCCTCGATTAGTCGTTATTAATACGTTCTGTAGGTTTTCTTAAATAAAAAATAATATTTGTACTTTCAGTTTGCACCCACAGAAACTATTTTACAGGTATTAGTTAAAGAAAAAACACAAGTGCTTAGTTGCAACTAAGACAATATGGGTTGTATATAGTGTGATAAAGAGAACAAGGGCCATTCACTTTTTAAATCACATATCGCCCTTGAAATGTTAGGAAAACTGCATGGGAATTTTGGAAAAGTGCCTTCTGTGTTGTGTTAGGAAAGCTACTGAAACGGTCAATGTTAGTTTTGTCACAACACTAACAAACTCACCCCCAGCAAATGGAGAGGTATAAGCATTAAGGGAAACTTATGCTTTCCTAATTGCAGCAGTGAGGCCCTTTTGTGGATCCAACACCAGGCTCGCTCCACCCAGGGACCAGGATAAGGACGAGGATGCTCATGCTGAAAACAGCCTCCATGGAGCAGCTCTCGCTCAGCAGAGACCTGCAGGGACCCCGGGGCAGTGGAGCAGGTTTCCAGGTCAGTGGCACTGGAGGGAGCAGGAGTCTGCTGGGGGATGGCTGGGATATTAGTGAATCTTTGGAAAACCAGAGGGAATAATATGATGTACTGTGAACTCTAATAAACCAGACTCCCAAAAGAGAAGAGATTTGAAAAAAAAAGACCAACTACCACATTTTCCTCAACTGGAGAAAAGTGAAGCAAAGGCAGTGAGAGACGGATGAAGCAGTCACGTAGGGGAGTAGTAATGGCTCACGGTGTGTTTGCCACAGCTGATGTGTGTTTTTTTTCCACTTCTCACCTCCCTGTGCAATCTCAGGCCGCGCTCCGTACGCTGTCCTTGCTTATATTTGATGTCGCAGCAAGAAGACAAGGTGCCATTAGCTTTTACTTGAAAGGTCATATTGAAGTTATTTTCTTCTATTCTGAGGGATTTCAACCGTAGCAAAGTAAAATAAAATGTAAAAATCTGGCCTAAGCAACCTCCCTAACCTGGCTGTATCACAGGGAAATGAAGTTAAACATTGAAATGTATATTGGACAAAATTGCACAACTCACTTTTCAGTCACCGGTGTCAGTTGTTCTCTGTGCAAAAGAGAATGAATTCCTCCAAATCTAGGAAATGATCCTGCAAATTTTAGCTTGCCATGAACAAAAACCAAATGTCAGGATATATTTTAACCACTTTAAATCAGTGCACCAAAGACATGTTTATTGTGAAGCATGTGGATAATCCCACCCCGGCTAGAAAACGTGTTGGGGTACCAGATGTGCCACGGAGCTCCCGGGACTGGCTGCGATTCCCATGTCTCAGCAAAGCCACGGCAACTGACCCTAGATATGAGCTTTACCTGTCCTAAGTAGAAGGTAATGTCCATTAGCCTAAGCATCGCAGAAAAAGTCTTTCCCCTGTATTTGGGATGGGTTAAGAGAGCTATCTTGTCATTTCAGCTTAGCTGAAATATTGTTAGTTCTTAACTTTCGGGAACTCAACTGTATGGCTGAGCCTTAAGTACCTTTTTGTAACTTCAAGCATAAGCTTATGGGGTTTGATAAGGCAGGGCTCACGTTTTGAAATCAATGCTAATGTTTATGCGTGTGCTTAGTTTCAAGGACTGTCAGTACCCACATTGAACTTGGATTTATCCATTGAGGGGCTGAACTGTAAAGAAGAAACAAACCTAGTGGGATAGTCTCCTGTGTATATGTAATTCATATATATTTGCAGAATCAGGTCTGCAGGATTGAATATGTCCTGTAGCTATTTTATGGCTTTGACAATGTTACCTGTTCATTTTGTCACTTTTAATTTTTTTTTGTTACTAATACAGGGCTTGAAATTAATTTTCAAATTTTATCCTCTGTTGATCAGGAAAAAAAACAGAAGAATCTATGCAGTGTTAACATGAATATTGACCTCAAGGTGAGTAGGACCCTCTTTTTTGTCAAAAGCTTGCTTGTCAGCATGCCGGTGATAGATCAGATGTAAAGAAAATCACTACTGCAAAGCCAATTTGCTAAGGGGCTTGTAAAATCCATTTTTAAAAAGTTACTGAGGCAAAAAAGTGAAGGACCAGCCAACCAGATATTTTGATCGGCTCTTCAAGGTCAAAAACTGATTACTAATTCATCAAATATCTTACTGGTAGCACTGTTTGAAGAGCAAACAACTCTGTGCAGAT